TAAGCCTAAACTCCTATGTTTCTAATACATTGTCATCAGAAAACTGGGAAATGAAATATGATTGGGCCAAGCTTACAGGTGTTCTATATTCTCCCAAGTAAAAGAATAAAAGCTATGGGCTTTAACTTTTGCTGTTTTTTGTTGATATGTTGTTTTTAATGTTAATGAACAAAGAAAAAAATTCACTTCAGGTCTCATACAGAAGCTTAGCTCTGAGTCATTTTAACTAAAGCTGACACCACAGAAAAAATTTACCTGAGCTCACCTTTGATTACTTCCTGTTACCTCTAACTTGGCTAACTCCTCTAGTCATTTATAAAACAACAAAAAGAAACACACAAAGCATCATTAGTTACTCCACACGAACAATGACCTAAAGAGCAGCTTCATAATTATGAGTATATTCTACCTGCATGTGATGAAATAATGGCAAAATTCCTTCATGCATGAATCATTTCTTAAAGGAGTAGACAATGGTGCCACATAAGCTTTATGAAGTACTTTCTCTATCATGTGATAGCCAGTTCTTATCCAAATACACCCAATCTTAAAGTCTCTCGCTTTCAACCTAAGTTGGGTACAGATGTTTCAAAATGCTTCACGTTTAACAATGCCACAGGCATACTGAGCTAGACAGTAAACAATTCTTGACTGAAATAGTGACCTGTTTTAAATATTCCCCACAGAGCCTGAAATGACCGTTATTTTCCAATATGAGGTGACAAAAGAAAGAGGCAAATAAAAGTTTCTTTCAAAAATACTTGTATTAGAATGTGGCCTCCTCCTGGTATGAAACAATCAAACGTACCTCAAAAGTATAGGTGTTATTTATAGCATTTCAATTATGGCTGTATGGTGTGTGTGAGTGCTTGCACGCAAATGCGTGTTTCCCATCAATATAAGCATGTAACAATTTGGGTGTGAAGACTGTCACACAAAAATATCCACCTATCGCAACTGAAATCACCTAAGAAGCAGGTTTGTAGGTTAAAATTATGAATTGCTACTTTACCACTCCCCTTCAAAAAAATACATGGGAAGTCATACTATGTATTCTTTAGGAATAGATGTATTTGTAGAACGTGCTAAAAATTTAGAAGAGAATAAAAAATATTTAAAAGAATAAAAGACCTCCCAAATTTGTGTGTCATTCTTGTACAGGGCTGTGCTAACCTTGCACGTATTGTGACCTGGATGTAAGATGGCAAAACAGCACAAAGGGGCATTTTGTTAGCACAAAGCATGTGATTACTTTTCATTTAAATACCTGAATGCCACAGACACCATTTTAATAAATTCAACAAGAATGGTTAGAATCATACAGGAACTCTAAAATAACAAAATGAACAAAATCAATATAAAAGTTAAGGTTCTTAAGATCATACCAGGAAATATTATAAGAGAGAAGAGCATATAGGTGAGATTAGGTACTAGACACAAAACATAGAATAAAAAGACAGGAAAAAGCAAACATTTCAAAATGTTATTTTAAACTAAACAAAAAAGTTAAAAAGTTAAAATGAAAATAAATGGTAGCATAGTAAAAAAAAATGAATCAGGAGATGGAGATGAACTGAGTTCTAAGCCTAGTTCTTCAATTAAGTAGTAAGAAACAGCAAATCAGCTAAAATAAGAGAATGAAAAAATAACTCTAAGGTTCTTTAAAGATGTCAAACACAAAATTAACACCCAACCAATTTCCTCCTGCTCTTTTCTAGTAAGTTTTCCTGCACCATTCTGTGTATTTGTTGACAAGTGTGCTGCTGGTTGGGGGAGAACAATTTTCCTCCAAAGTTTTAGTTTCATTGTGATGTTCTCATTCAATAGTCACGGATCTTATAAAGATGTATTATTTTAATGACAATGTTTTGAGAGTAGACTGTCAAAAAAATATATAAGAAAAATAAGGTAGCCATTTGAATATTAAGCTACAACTTACATTTTAATTACTCTTAATTAATCAAGGCATTTTTCAATGTTCTTTAAAATACTACGATGTACTCAAGAGAAAGAAAAAAAATATACAGTACAGAGAAATGAATAAATGAAAGTCAATGCTTGTAGTGAGGTATGAGGCTCACATCCCATCTCTGTTAGCAATAAAAATGATTAATCTCTTAATCATACTTCAAATAGAAAAACTAGCCTATATTCTCAAATCTTCAAGAAAGTAGCAAAACAGACAGGAAACAGAGATTGTTTTGTGTGTGTGTATGTGTGTGTGTGTGTTTAAATCCTTACAGCATGGAGAAAATAAACTGGAATAGTAAGTACTCCTAAATCAATAATAGTTACAGAGAACACCACAATCAAAATTTCTGTAACTTTACTTCAAAGATAAAAAAAAAAAAGTCTAATTATCCCTGTAAGAACATACAGAAAAATAGCAATATTGGTTGTCTCTGTAGAGGGGAACTATATTAGGATTTCGTGAATAAAAGTTGAAAAGAAACTTTACTCTAAATTCCTTCAAGTACATTTTGATTTTAGAACTATATAAATATATTTTCTATCAGAAAATGATTTTTAAATTATTAATGGAATACAACACATAAAAGCCTTGAAATAGGAGTTCATTAAATTTAAATATTTTACTTTTTTAAAGAAAATTAAAAAACCAGACCCAGACTAGGAAAAAATTACAATTCATATTTAATAAGGACTTATATCCAGAATATATAAATAACTCAAAATTCAGTAATAAGAAAACAAATAATCTATAAAATTTGAGGGAAAGGTGTGAGGAAAGGTGTGAATAGATAAAAAACACACTAAACTTTGTTATTAGGAAAATAAAAACTAAAACCACCATGATACACCACTACAAAAGCACTAGGATGGCTATAATAAGACAAAAAGTATATGCTAGTGAGAATATAAAGAAACTGAAACTCCCAAACATTGCTGGCATGACTGTAAAATGGTGCAGCCAGTTTGGAAAAGTTTAGCAATTTCTTAAAAAGTTTAACATAAATGTACCATAGTACCCAACCATTCCACTCCTAGGAATCAATCTATCCAAGAAAGATGAAAACTTTTCCACACAGTGATCTGTATGCAATCATTCACAGCAGCATTATTCATAAAGGTGAAAAGGTGGTAGAAAACCAAAAGAGAATAAAAGGAAAAAAAGTGAAAAGGTGGAGCCTGGCCAGTGTGGCTCAGTGATTGAGAGTCAACCTATGAACCAGGAGGTCACAGTGTGATTCCTGGTAAGGGCACATGCCCCGGTTGTGGGCTCAATCCCCAGTGGGGTGTGTGCAGGAATGATTCTATGTACTCAAGAGAAAGAAAAAAATATACAGTACAGAGAAATGAATAAATGAAAGTCAATGCTTGTAGTGAGGTATGAGGCTCACATCCCATGTCTGTTAGCAATAAAAATGATTAATCTCTTAATCATACTTCAAATAGAAAAACTAGCCTATATTCTCAAATCTTCAAGAAAGTAGCAATTTCCTCTCTGAAATCAATCAATCAATCAATCAATCAATATATATATGTATATTTAAAAGTAAAAAGGTTGAAACAATCTAAATACCCACCAATTGATGAATGAATAAATAAAATATAGCATATATTCTTAATGGACTATTAAACAGCAATAAAAAAAAAACACTTCTGAATCACACTACAAATGGGATGAAACCAAAAACATTATGCTAAGTGAAATAAACAATCACAATTTTGTATGATCCCATATATGTGAAATATCCAAAAGAAGCAAATTACAGAGACAGGAAGCAGACCAATAGTTTCCTACAATGGACAGTGAGGCACAGATTACCTGCCAACAAGCAAAACTAAACTATTGAGGTGACAGGTATGTTCTAAAACTAGACTGCAGTGATGAATGAACAACTCAGTAAAATTTACTAAAAATAAAAATCATTAAGTTGCCAAGAAATTATTTAATTGAAACTCTTACTAAAAACTAAAATTACACAGTAACAAAAATAGATTAAGACTGGAAGACAGTATTATGGTCAACCTAATGTCAATTATGCTATGATTTTTTTTCAATTATGCTATGATTTAATTATCATAAATAATGTTTCAGGAAAGACACAAAGAAAGAATTCAGTAATTGAAATTTTGAGTAAACATTTAACCCAGCATTAGAAATACGAGGGTGCGCATCAAAAACCTTAACTATATGATCTAGTACAAAACACTTATGACAAATGACAGCAAGACCTAATGATATATTTATAAACTCTTTAACCAATAAAACCTGTTCAATTTTAATAATTCTGAGTACTGGTCAATAATTTATTTTTAAATCAATCTGTTGGTATTTTAGATGGCCCCTCGTCCCCTGCCCCCATTGAACCTTTGTGCATTTAGAAGTGCTAGATGTACACAAGGATGCCAGAAAAGGCCGGCAGATTTAATTAAGGAAAACAAAGGTAAGATATTTTATTTAACTACCTCTTATTCCTTTAGAATGAAGAAACACAGATGATTAAAAATAAAATTTACCAGAACTGAATTTACAAATGAGAGGACCAGGAAACCAAAGATGTGATAAAAGGATAATTTAAGAACAATGTATTTTATTTTGTCAAAGAAAGTCAATTCCTTATTTTGTTAATGCCAGTAATTTATAAAATAGATTAAATACTACAAGCTTCTGTTTCAAAAGACTTTTCCCTATAAGATAATGAAAATTTCTTCTGGCCCAGCTGGCTTGAATCAGTGGTTGAGCTTCCACCCAGGAACCAGGAGATCACTGGTTCAATTCCTGATCAGGGCACATACACGGGTTATGAACTCGATACCCTGAAGAGTAAGGGGGGTCAGGGTAGAGGGTGCAGGAGTGCAGTCATTAATGTTTCTAACTATCTCTCTCCCTTCCTGTCTCTCTAAAAAATCAATAAAAACATACTTAAAAATTTCTTCCTGAAGTAACTAGCAAAAGTTATAACTGCAGAATACTTATGTTACCTTAAGAACAAAGAGCAATGAAAGAAATGTTTCACTACTGCTAATTACATTACCTTCAGGAGCAATCACAGAAGGACAGACTTCTTTGAGGAGATCTCCTAAAGTATGCAATTGTCCATCTGTAGCCACAGGACGAAAAAGCTTCTGAATGAAAGGTCGTTCAGTCGTTGTCTATTTGAAAAATGAAGAAAGAATTCAAACAATTAAGTCTTTGTTGCTAGAAATAACAAATATAGATCAGAAATTTAAAGCTTGCATTATATTTCTTTGGATATAGTGCAATCAGAAACATAAATCATCAATGTGGTATTATTGCCCAGAATGCTTAACATAAAGTAAATCTAGCAATGAGGAAACATTCAAACCCAGAATGTGAAATGCTTTAAAACAACTGGCCTAGATGACTCAAAAAAGTTTTCAGAAGCAATAAAAAATAAAACAAAAACAATACAAAAACATTTAAAAAGGTTGACAAGATAAAACAATTAAGTAAAAAAATAAAACAAACCTTGATTGAATACTGGATTGGAGAAGAAAAATTTAAAAATCAGCTATAAAAGATGTTCTTTGGAATAACTTGGGAAATGAGGAATGAACACTAGACAGCTTTATTAATGTCAAATTTCGTAGGTGTCAAAATTGTGGAAGTGAAGGGATAGCAAATGTAGAAAAATGTTAACTATGGTGAATTTAGATGAAGGATTTATATTGTCTTAGTTGTTTTATTATTTTAACTTCTCTATGTTAAAATTTTTTTCAAAATAGTCAATACAGCAATAGTTATTAGCACTATATCATAACTTATTGTTAATTGATTTTAATGTTTCACCCACTTTTATAATTTTAATTTTCCTGAACTACCTCTATAGGAGCATGTCAAAGATGATGAAAACTTCATCATGACACAGTGCAGAAGCTCTGGAATCAGCCAGTCTACTAACTGAAGTATTGTTCATGAGCTCTATGATCTTGAGCTCAGTTTCTTCAGAAATTTGGGACATTCCCTATTTCTCTTTTTTTTAAAAATTTTTAAAAATTGATTTCAGAGAAGAAGGGAGGAGAGACAAATAGAAACATCAATGATGAGAGAGAATTACTGATCAGCTGCCTTCGGCATGCCCCACCCTGGGGATGAAGCCTGAAACCTGGACATGTACCTTGACCAGTAATCCAAACAATGACCTCCTGGTTCATAGGTCAATGCTCAACCACTGAACCACAATGGTCAGGCCATAATTAAAGAACTGTGCCAAGCACAGAGTAACTTAATAAATAAATATATGATAAAGAGAATAAAAATAACCTCCTCCCTTGTTATTTTATTTTAACACACTAGAGGCCTGGTGCACAAAATTTGTGCATGGAGTGCACGGGTGGGGAAGAGCTGTCCCTCAGCCCAGTCTGCACCCTCTCCAATCTGGGATTCCTCGAGGGATGTTTGACTGTCCATTTAGGGCTGATCCCATTGAGATCAAGCCTAAACTGGCAGTTGGATAACCCTCTCACAATCCAGGAATGCTGGCTCCCAAAAGCTCACCTGCCTGCCTTCCTGATTGCTCCTAACCGCTTCTGCCTGCCAGCCTGATGTCAGTAATTCTGGTCAACCCAGGTAGCTGGGTTGCAGACAACCAATTGATGCGGCTCTCTCACATCTATGTTTTTCTCTCTATTCTCTCCCTCTGCCCCTTCTTTAAAAAAAAAAAAAAAAAAAAAAAATATTGCCGAAACCGGTTTGGCTCCGTGGATAGAGCGTTGGTCTGCAGACTGAAAGGTCCCAGATTCAATTCCGGTCGAGGGCATGTACATTGATTGCGGGCACATCCCCGGCAGGGGGTGTGCAGGAGGCAGCTGGTCGATGTTTCTAGCTCTCTATCCCTCTTCCTTCCTCTCTGTGGAAAATCAATAAAATATCTTAAAAAAAAAAAAAAATCAATGGAAAAAATATCCTCCAGTGAGGATTAACATCCCCCTCAAAAAGTTAAGTACCTCTCCATAAGTGTTCACAGCCCCCATCCAGAACCATATCTTTTCAAATTCTTTCTGCTTCCTAGCCTGTTCTCAATCCTCATAGTTTCTGACCACATCGTACTTTCCTGACTATGGTCCCCACACTCTTGGCAGCACTCCAGCTCTCATATCTGGCTTCACCTCTTAGGTTCATTTCCTACTTCCTATTTTGGATTAGGGCTGATTTCATATGCTTAGGTAAATTCTTGCCTAGTCCAGCCAAGCCTGGTGATCCCTGCACAGTCCTTATGGCTGCCTCCTGCTCCCCAAACAGCCCAGATCTAGGCCCTCAGAATCTACCCATTAAAAAACAAAAACAAAAATTATCCCAATAGTAGTACCCTGGTTCAGGGCCTCTGACTAATGAGCAGAGAGGACATGGGTAAATTATATCATAAATCTTATTTATTAATCATTTATTTTTAGGGTAATACTATGCTATAGGATACAAAGAGAAATAAAGCACACAAAAACAAATAATTATAATACAATAATGTGTACAGAAATATGTACAAAGCTCTATGAGAGAAAACTTAAAAGCACAAAATTTAATTCTGGGCCTTTTGGCAGCTAGAGCAAAAATACCCGTCGTCCTCCCCCTCCCAAACCCCCCCAAACCATAACTGGTTATATAATTTCATTTTCTAAGAGTGGAAGAAGAGGTGGGGGTGGCAGGAGGGAACTCATCAGGCAGAGGCTTTAAGCTTGGGAAGGGGCTGAGCCTGCGATCGGAGGGGCAGGGGTATGTGCGAGGGAGCAGGCTGGGCTGAGAGACCTCTCCCCAGTGCATGAATTTCATCCACCAGGCCCCTAATGTAATATATTAAAACAGTAGGGAATTTCAAGAGAGAATGGAACCAAAGGAGAGAATATAGAAGGTCTTTAAGATTCCAATGTGAAACAGATAAAAATTTTTAAAAAGAGATAGGCCTTTCAGCACCAGTCCTCCCCTTTTCATAATTAGTGAATAAGGAAAGAAAAGTGAGATTAGGAAAGGCTTGGTTGAAATCCCAATTTACAACACAACTGACTGTGTACTCATGGCAACTTTCATTAATCTTTGGGAGTCTGTTTCTAAATTTGAAAAATGGGAATAATATATATCTTTAAATGACTGCTATGATAATTAAATATGATGAGATGCATAGAACATTTATGCAATAGGTGCTTAACAACGATTACCTAGTTCTTTTCATTCCTCCCCTTTAAGCCACTGTTACTAACTAGTAAGTGTAGAACCAAAGATAACACTATTTAGTCTCTATAGAACCACTAACAAAGAATGAAAAATAGTTGATATTTGACCATCACTTCCGTTTGAAGTCTTGTTAATTAGAATACGTAGCACAAATAAAAACAGGGGTTTACACAGGATATGCTCCCAGACTTTATGAACAATGACACATAATATGTGCTTCAAACTGTCACATGCATATTTGGCCTAAGATATATTCATGCATGTCAAATTTTGCATCACACGCTCTTTAAAAGAAGCCTCATATTAAAATTAGCTTAAGAATATACACAATTACAATACATCATTAAATAAAAAAGATCAGACCATTTTCAAATGAATGCTTTTAGACCTTTACAGTAAATAGTCTTTTTGGTGGTGGGAAGTGGGATGGGGAGTCTGTACCACTTAATCAGATGACTTTTATCCCTCCATATAGGAAAATAGGAGACTTGAAAATAAGCACTTTCTGTAGTTATGCTACCAAAGCCTGAAGTCCACTTTTAATATTCCCAACAATTCTAAAAAATAATAATTAACATTTAAAAAGCTGTCATTATTATAGTCAGGGAAACTTAATCCTCAAAGCAGTAGTGTTCTAATTAAGACTATGATTAAATGAAAACACCATCAGAATTATATCCATACATCTGGTTTTAAGTTTATGTTTTGTCTTACTTAAACTTGTATTTATTATAATTCTGTCTAGACAATGCCAATGTACTTTGTCACATAAATAGTTAAGGCAAAGTTTCTTCAAATACAGGTAACAGCCTGTGTCTTCTTCATATCCTTTCATTGAATAACGTGTGTTACAGGGAAGCTCCATTTTTCTTTTGGTCACGATGAGATCAATTTGGTGCTGTTTTGAGGCAAATTATTTTAAAAAATTACATTGCTTAAAAATTTTATATGGAATTCTTAGTAGTCAATGAAAAGCTTTTTATAAAAGTGCTAGACATTGATGTTTTTAGTAATAATTATCTAACTAAAGCTTCTCAAAAATGATTTCAAAATCATACCAAGGGAATCAGTTTAAATTTTACCATCTATAAGAGTTTTAAAATATCTTTGTTAATTTTCCCAAAGCCACACTAAAAAGGTAGGATAATACAAAAGTAAAGCAATTAATAAATTGTTCTCTCCTGAAGAATGAAAAGACATTTTTATATATGGGTGACTTCTTTAAAATATAAAATATATATCCACACAAAAATTTGTATATTAATGTCCATCAATTAATTGGTAAGTGGAAATGTGATGTCTCCATACAATAGAATATTACTTGGCCATAAAAATGAATGTACTGAAATATGCTCCATCAATGAACCATGGAAATTTAATGCAGGTGAAAGAAGCAAGACCTAAAAGGCCATATATTGTAAGATTCCTTTTATATGAACTGTTCAAAATAGGCAAATTCACAGATAAAGAAATTAGATTAGTGGTTGACATGGGCTGGAAGGAAGGGGAAATGGAGAATGATAGCTAATGGTGTATGGAGTTTCTTTTTGGGATGTTATAGCTAATGGTGTATGGAGTTTCTTTTTGGAATGTTATAGCATGTCCTTAAATAATGTCATCTATAATAATAAAAGCATAATATGCTAATTAGACTGGACAGCCAAAAGACCTTTTGGATGTCCTTCCAGACAACCTTCTGGACAAAGATGTGGCTGTGAGGGTCTAGGCAAACCATCATGGCTGCAAGGGCTGAGCCCTTTGACGAGTTTTGTGCATCGGACCTCTAGTTTCATAACATTGATGGATAATGGAGGAACTTAACTCTTCTTTATATCAATTAGCCTATGGTAAAACTGTTTTCATTATACATTGTTTCCCTTAAAGTTACAGAACTTATTGAATACATTAAATGAGGATTATTGTATGTAGTAGTGATGGTTGCACCAACTTTAAATATTCTAAAAAG